AGGGAGTGGAACTACTTGAAAAGAAATAAGGAACTCCTTGAAAAGGAAAAGGATCAAGACAGAAGTTGGTGGCAGGGTGTGGAGTATGATTGGTATGACAATGCTGTTTGTTATAGGACATGGAAGACTTTAGGACTTTGGACTAGAAAATTGGTTGGACACTTTAAGCAGGGCTTAATGAAGCATCCTAGTAGAAGCATGGAAGACAGTGTGGTGCTCAGGGTAATGTGGAATGTGGGTGTCCCACTCAAGAATTTTCAGAGGAGAAGAATATTAGTAAGTGGCCTAGAGACTGTTCCTGTGATATTTTGGTGAATAATGTGGCTGCTTTCTGCCCTTGTCCAAAGCACATGCCTAAGGCTAAATTGAAGAGTTTTGGATTAATGGTGTTGGTAGAGGAGATTTCAAGGTAACCTAGTATTGAGTGGTCACTCTTATGCAGATCTACAATAAAAGGAGCATACTGAACAAGGAAAACTACAAAATGCATTCAGTTGGAGCACCGGGAAATGCAATGGAACTAAGTCCTGTGTTCAAGAAGATAAATATTTAAAGAGAAGCCTGATGCTAAATGGAATAAAGGGAGTGGTGACCTCAAGGCAAGACCCTGCCCAGGTAAGTTTCCAACTTGTGAAAAGGAATGAAAGGAAAGCTTAAGAAGTGAAGGAAACCATCAACAACAGAAAGCAGATACGAATGCAGTTGAATGAGGGAGCCATGTTCCAGGCCCAGCAAGTAGCAGAATTTGGCATTTTCAGTCATGAGGTTCTGGTTTTAGGGTCAAGGATATAGGAAATGGGGTATAGAACCTACTTCTGGGGCTAAGGAAAGCCACCGAGGCCAGGCATGTGTCAGAAGTATCCCTTCATGGAAGCTCAGGGAGGCTATTGTGTGAAGCTGTAAAGGTGAAGCCTGGGTTATGTTGGAGACCCCAAGATGTGGGAGATGCCAATCATGGGATACTATGCCAATGAAAGCTGAAGACTGGGTGTGGAACAAGCCCAAGAGAGAGAAGTATGATGCAGTCAGCAAATCTGAAAGGATTGATCATCTGAAGAGTGCTTTGACATCAGCCACGGATTTCCAGAGTTTAGACTTTGCCCAGCTGGTTTTTGGTTTTGATTTAGTCTAGTATTTCCTCACTATCTTTCCCTTTCTCCCTTTTGGAATGGTAACGTACATCCTGTGCTACTGTAGTTTGGTAGTAAGAGATCTACCTCTTGATTTTGATTTTACAAGGGGTTACAGTTCAGAGATTGACATGAATATCAGAAGAGACTTTGAACTTTAGACTTTTAAATAATGTTGAGACTCTGATAGACTGTGGGGAATCTTGAAGTTGTCCAACTTTTTGAAGTTGGACTGAATTTTTGCATTTTGATATTCCTACAAGCTAATTGGCGCCAGGGAGTAGAATGTGGTGGTTTCAATAAGAATGATCTTCCCAGGCTATATATTTGAATTCTTAGTTACAGGGAATAACACTATTTGAAAAGGGTTTAGGAGGTATGGTATTGTTGAAGTAAGCGTGTTACTGGAGGTGAATTTTGAGGTTTCAAAAGCCCATGCCAAGCCCAGAGTCTCTCTATCTGCAGATTATGATGTAGCTTTCAGCTGCTGCTCCAGCGACTGCCTGCATCAACATGATCTCTATGATCCCCACCACAATGATTAGGAACTAAATCTCTGAAACTCTAAACAAGCACCAACTAAATGCTCTGTTTTATCAGAGTTTCCATGGTCATGACCTCTCTTCACACCAATAGAACAGTGACCAAGACATTAACCAGCCAGATCTTCCACATCCTTCTCTAGTGTCTGAGTCTCCATGACCTTCCTCATTCATGAACCCTCCCTAACCTGCCAGACCTAGCATGCAACTTGCATACAGTTCCCTGGTCTAGTCTGGCCAGCCTTGCCTGAACGAAGGTCAAACTCTAGACTTCTGCTAGAACCCTACCTACCCACCCCCAAACCACAGGATCATCCCACACCATATCCAACCTTTCTTGGCAGCCAGATCTAACTTCACAATCAAATCTTAAACCACCAGGTTCATCCTAGACATTAGCCCAGTCCACTTTGTCCACCTAACTTCATTACACCAAAGCCACTTCCACCTTCTAGGCCTAACCTACCTTCTTATCCTCCTTTCTGTTCTAGCCTTCTCTATCCATACAATACTTAGAACTAACAAAAGAAGTACACATGCCTAGAGCTCATGACAAAAATACAAACAATATAAAAGAACAAGTCAGTATATTCTCTCCCTCTCTAAAATAGTCTTGTACAAATGTTTGCCAATGAAAATTACCCAAAAGAACTCCAGGATACTCAAAAGAAGACTCATAAAGTTCATCAAAGAATTCAAAGAGTTTTAAAAAGACACAAAGAAGCATTTTAATAAATTAAGGAAAAAGTAATTAGGAGATTAAACACCTGACTAATGCCCAAGATGTGAAGAAGACAATCCAGTACATGGAAATAGAATTCAATAAGAATATAGAAACATTGAAGAAGACTCAAACTGAAATGAAGATGGAGTTGAAAAACCCAATGATTCAATTAGAAAACTCAAAGAAAAGCTTTTTTTCCCTCTATGATCTTGTTGGAGAGTTCTATGACATTGACTTGGGATTCTTCCCCCAATAATTCAAAGGTTTAGTGTTTTCATGGTATCCCTTATTCCCTTTTCTGTCCTTTTTCTATTATTTATTTGTTTGTTTTTCTACTCCTTGTTTGTTTGTTTGTTTGTTTGTTTGTTTTTCTACCCCTTGCTTATTTTGTCCAGATGGTCTTCATTTTTGAATCCTGATATTTTATCTTTTGCTTGATTCATTCAATGTGTAAAGAAGAGGTCAACAATTTAAATAGATCAAAGAAAAGCTCTATACATAGACGCCCCCTTTTGAGTTGCTGGTCAGAATTTTCCATTGCAAACTACTGCCATTTTCTTTGGTTGACTCCCTCCCTCCCTGAGGTGGAAATACGTGTCTATTTGCTGAAGATACCATGGACTTCAGTCACAGGGCCCAGAAGATCCTGAGCTTGAACTGACTTGAATGTCTCCTCATTGAAGACTAGTTTTCATGGTACCAGAAGGCACTGGGAAAGATGTCAAAGGAGGAATGCAACAGACAGTCCTACCCAGCTATAATGCCTATGGCAGCAACTACCAACATTGGGGCAAGTAGTGGCATTCATATTTTGGTAGTAACCAACAGTTCCCTGTTTAGACTTAGAACCTGCACAAAAAGGTAAATCATGCTTGGTAATGGAAACCTAATACAGAAAACCACTACCATGGAAAACATCCAACCACCAATTTACTAGATCAGCATAATCCTAAACAACAATCTAAACATTTGTCCTTATGCCTACAGATAAGTGTAGTCTTCCCCCCTCATCAAGGAAACTTCTATTTGCAACAGACATAGATCATTTCCAAGAAAAATAACCAATCAAAATGCAGAGTTATGGAGCCCAGTTCCAACGGATACACCTACAAAACACTCTAGCACCTAAGGCTTGGGAACATTGAGGAAGAGGGTGCAGAAGAATTTAAAGAGCCAGAAGATCAGGGAGTTGCCTGTAAGACTGTGTTTGTTAGTAATGTCAGAAGCTACACTAAAAATATCTTACTAACATCACTGCCTAAACATGAGCTGAACCAGGACAATAGTAGACATGCTAAAGTTGATGGAGAAAGATCACAAATCCTCAGTCCTACACAAAGAACAACAGGTAACTAAGGAAAACTGAGAGTGAAACAGGGAAGAGCACACTATTGGTTGTAAAAACCAAAAGATCAGCCTTGAAAGTATACATGTACTACACAGACTCAGTAGATCATATTTAGCAATATATATATATATATATATGTGTGTATGTGTGTGTGTGTGTGTGTGTGTGTGTGTGTGTGTGTGTGTGTTTGCATGTGACACCAATTAATGAAATAAGATCCATACCTTTGAAAAAGAGCAAGGTAGGGGTCTATGGGAGGGTTTAGAGGGAGGATAGGGAAAGAGAAAATTACGTAATGATATTATAATCTCAAAAATAGAAGAAAAAAAGCTCAATTAAAATTTTAATAAAAAGCTCCCAGCTCTTGGGTCTATGAAGAGGGATCTGTGGGTGAGAGTGTTTGCTGTGCAAGTATGAGAGCCTGAGTTTGAATCCCTTGCACTCATGTAAAAAATTGGGCTTGGTCAAGTGTGTACCTGCAGCACCAGACAGAGTTGTGATATAAGTTGAGACAGGAGGATCTCTGGGGATTCCTCATTGTCAGTCTAGTTCCAAGTTCAGTGAAAGATCTTACCTCAATGGAATAAAGTGAAGAGTAACAGAGGAGAGTACCTGATGTCCTCTTCTTATTTCTGAGTATATACACCAAACACACACATGCACACATATACATGCACACATACACATGCACATATACTATTAATGAAAACAAATGTATGAATAAATTAAAAAGTCAATGAGTAATCAATTCTAAGGCTCAGGAAGCATTGTGAAAGAGGGTACAGACAGACTATAAGAGTCAAAGGAAGCAGTAGTGTGTTATGAAAGTCTGTCTTCCAGGTATGCCATGGCTATTGCAGTCTTGAACCCACTGCAGCTGTGTGTACAATAGCTGCATAACAGATAGAGCACACAGAAAGGAAACTAATACAGTTACCAATGGTTGGGAGGAATGTAGAATGAGGATTGTTGCTTAATGGGTACAAAATTTCAGTTTTGGGTGATTAAAATTGTTTGGAGGGTTTTGGATATGGCTTAGTGGCACAGTATTTGCAAAGTAAGTGAGGTCCTGGATTCAAGCCCCACAAAGCCAGTAACGAACAGGAATCTAAAAACTGTCTGGAAACTGAAAATGATAGTTACATAACACTGTACATTTAACAATACTGAACTGTATACCCAAAACACACAAAGAGGAAATATTTATATTATATACATATATTATATATTATTACAATAATAAAACTTCTGCTTACCTGGTCTTGAAGTCACATTCTCAGAGGACCATGTGGACATTTTAGATGTGGTCAGAGGGGCATAAGGACTTGCATGTAGTGTAGTTGTAGTCTTAGAGCCAGTGGGTCTTGAACTTGTGATAGCTAAATGAGAAGTCTCACTTGTAGTTTCCAGGTCAGTGAGTGGGCTTGCTGAGGTCTCTGATGGTGTCAAGGTCATTACATCACTGACAAAATTGGGAAGTCTAACTGTAGTGACAGATGCTGAGGTTTCTAGGCTCTGTGAAGTTGCATTGCCAGATTTACTGGTTGTAGGAGCACTGGGAAACCCAGGGACACTAGGGGACATAGTCAGAGTGGATTCTGCTGAAGAGATGGAAGCCCCTAAGTCTGTGGTGCCTGCTAAAGCAGGGGCAGGGGTTACAGTTAGAATGGTGGTGCTGGTCTCGGTCCCAGAGAGGACTGGGAGAGAGGCTGTTCCTTCAGAAGCACCAGATGAAAAGGTTGTACCCAGGTCATTTCTGCTACCCTCAGTCACAAAGGAGTTCAAGGGAAAATTTGTCATCTCTGGTCCTCCAGGGGAGACAGTCTGAGTCAAGAGAGTTGTACTAACATCTACCCCATGTGTAATGGGCACTGAGGCTGTGGTTTCCAACAAAGGAAGAAAACCAGTTGTGACAGGAAATGTTGTATTAGTTTCTGCACTGAGGTGGGTGGTTAATGAAGTTGTGCTTTTTGGTTCACTAGGAGACACAACTGTAGTTGGAAATGTACTGATTGATGGCCCAGAATTAGTGAATTGTGAGGTTATTATGCCTGGTGCCCCAGGAAAGACTGTCACTGTTGGCACAGATGAACTGGTTTCTGTTCCAGGATGCTTGCCAACTGAGGGTGTTACGTCTAAACCACTATCAGAAAAACTGGAAGCTTGTTGGGTTGAGGCAAGATGAGTAACTAAGGAGACTGTTGATATTGGTTCATGCATTGATGTACTCAATGTAAGAAAAGTCATACTATTGTCTGTTGGAGAAGCAGCATGCAGTCGAGTGGTCATATATGGTACACCAGATGAAAGAGTTGTTGGAATGGCTGGAGTGGTCTCTGCCCCAGAAGCTGAGGAAGTGATGTCTGATCCACTATAAGAAAATGTGGGAGGTGTTGTGGAGAGTGGTGTGCTGGGCTTGGCAGAAGGAATGAGCCATGCTTCAGTTCTTTTTGGCTCTTTAGGTAAAGTAGACAAAGTAGAAATTGTTGAAGTTGCTTCTTTTCTAGGATGGGTGACCCAGGAGGCTGTGGTCTCTGTTTGACTTGAGGAAACAGTCAGAGTTGGAGTAGCTGTATGTGTCTCTGTCTCAGAAGTAGTGACTGGTGATGTCATCATTTCTGTTATAGCTGGAGAGACAGGGCTTGTAGACATGGCTGAACTGGGCTGTCCTGCAACATGGGAGACCAAGGATATCATGGTATGTGGCTCAGAAGGAAAAAGAGTTGGTGAGGACATCATGTCTGGAACACTAGGAGAGATGGATGTCCTTAGAATACTCAAAGTGGCTTCTGTTACAGAATGGGTGATCCACGAGGCTGTGGTCTCTCGTTGACCTGGAGAAGCACTCAGAGAGGAAGACACTGAATCCCTTTCTATGTGAGAGCTAGTGACTAGTGATGGTATTGTTTCTGTTAAATGGGGAGAGACAGGCCTTGTAGATACAGCTGAACTGGGCTGTCCCTCAACGTGGGTGACAAAAGAAATTGTGGCATGTGCTTCAGAAGAAATATGATTTGGTGAGGTCATTTCTGGCATGCCAGTGCTAGTGACTAGTGATGGTATCATTTCTGTTACATGGGGAGACACAGCCTGAGTAGACATGGATAAACTGGTCTGTCCCCCAGCATGGGTGACCAATGTTATGGTCTGTGGTTCAGAAGTAATGTGGTTCAGAGATGTTGAGGCCATCATGTCTGGAACACTTGGTGAGATGGTTGACGTTAGAACTTCTGAAGTGTCTTCTTTTTCAGGATGGGTGACACATGGGGCTGTGGGCTCTGTTTGACCTGGGGAAACAGCCAGAGTTGAAGTCACTGGATGGATTTCTGTGCCAGAACTAGTGACAAGTGATGGTATTCTTTCTGTTATATCCGAAGAGACAGACCTTGTAGACATGGCTGAAATGGGCTGTTCCCCAGTGTTGGTGACCAATGAAATTGTGGTATGTAGTTCAGAAGGAATAAGAGTTGGTGAGGTCTTCATTTCTGATACAGTAGGTGAGATGGTTGTAAACAGAACCTCTGAAGTGCCTTCTCTTCCAGGATGGGTGACCCATTGGATTGCTGTCTCAGTTTGACCTGGCGAAACAGCCAGAGTTGTAGTCATTGCATAGCTTTCTGTGCCCAAGCTAGTGACTAGTGATGGTGGCATTTCTGTTATACCTGAAGAGACAGCCTGAGTAGACATGGATGAACTGAAGTGTCCACCAGGATGTGTGACTAATGATGTTATGGTCTGTGGTTCAGAAGGAGCATGGATCAGAGTTGTTGAGGTCATCATGTGTGGAACACTAGGTGAGAGAGTTGTAGAGAGAATCTGTAAAGTATCTTCCTTTCCGGGATGGGTAACCCATGGGGCTGTGGTGCCTAGTTGATCTGTGGAAACTTCAAGAGTTGTAGTTGTTAAATAGTTTTTTGTGTCAGAGCTAGGGACCACTGATGGTATCATTTCTGTTACACCTGAAGAGACAGTCTCAGTAGACATGGATAAACTGGGTTGTGCCTCAGCATGGGTAACAACTGATATTGTGGTCTGTGTTTCAGAAGGAGTGTGGGTCAGAATTGTTGAGGTTATATTCTCTGGAGCACTAGATGTGAGGGTTGTAGTTATAACATCTGAAGTGTCTGCCTTTACAGAATGGGTGACCCATGAACCTGTGGTCCCTGTTTGAGCTGTGGACACTGCCAGAGATGTAGATGTTGAATTGGTTTTTGTGCCAGAGCTAGTGGCCAGTGATGGTATCATTTCTGTTACACCTGAAGAGACAGCCAGAGTAGACATGGCTGAATTGGGCTGTTCACCAATGTGGGTGACAAATGAAACTGTGGAATGTGGTTCAGAAGGAGTAGGACTTGTGGAAGTAACAAGATCTGGAACACCAGTTGAAATGGAGTTAGGTAGAACACCTGAAGTGTCTTGTCTTTCTGCATGTGTTGTCCATGAGGCTGTGGACTCTGTTTGACCCTGGGAAACAAGTAGAGCTGGACTGGTTCCATGTGCCTCTGTCCCAGAAGTAGTGGCCTGTGATGTCATCATTTCTGATACACCCGAAGAGACAGTCTCAGTAGACATGGATAAACTGGGTTGTGCCTCAGCATGGGTAACCACTGATATTGTCGTCTGTGTTTCAGAAGGAGTGTGGGTCAGAATTGTTGAGGTTATGTTCTCTGGAGCACTAGGTGAGAGGGTTGTAGTACTAACATCTGAAGTGTCTGCCTTTACAGAATGGGTGACCCATGTACCTCTGGTCAATGTTTGGTCTGTGGACACTGACAAAGATGTAGCTGTTAAATTGGTTTTTGTGCCAGAGCTAGTGGCCAGTGATGGTATCATTTCTGTTACACCTGAAGAGACAGCCATAGTAGGCATGGCTGAATTGGGCTGTTCACCAATGTGGGTGACAAATGAAACTGTGGAATGTGGTTCAGAAGGAACAGGAGTTGTGGAAGTAACAAGATCTAGAACACCAGTTGAAATGGAGTTAGGTAGAAAACCTGAAGTGTCTTCTCTTTCTGCATGTGTTGTCCATGAGGCTGTGGACTCTGTTTGACCCTGGGAAAGAAGCAGAGCTGGACTGGTTCCATGTGCCTCTGTCCCAGAAGTAGTGGCCTGTGATGTCATCATTTCTGTTATCCCTGAAGAGACAGCCTGAGTAGACATGGATGAACTGAGGTGTCCACCAGGATGGGTGACCAATGATGTTATTGCCTGTGCTTCAGATGGAGTCTGGGTCAGAATTGTTGAGGTCATTATATCTGGAACAGTATTTGAGAGAGTTGTACTTAGAATCTCTGAAGTGCCTTCATTCCAAGGTTGAGTGACCCATGAACCTGTGGCTGTAGGTTGATCTGGGGAAACAGACAGAGTTGAAGGCACTGAATGACCTTCCATGTTTGAGGTAGTGACAAGTAATGGTATCCTTTCTGTTACACTTGGAGAGACAGGGCTTATAGACATGGCTGAACTGGGCTGTCCCTCAACATGGGTGACCAATAACACTGTGCTGTGTTGTTCAGCAGAAATAAGACTAGGTGATGTCATCATTTCTGGTACACTAGGTGAGATGGTTGAAGATAGGGCCACCGATGTGGCTTTGCTTTCAGGATGGGTGACCAATGGGGCTGTAGTCTCATGCTGACCTTTGGAAACATCCAGAGTTGAAGTAATTACATAGCTTCCTGTGCCCAAGCTAGTTACTGGTGATGATGGCACTTCTGTTACACCTGAAGAGACAGCCTGAGTAGACATAGATAAACTGGGGTGTCCTCCAGCATGGGTGACCGATGTTATGGTTTGTGGTTCAGAAGGAGTGTGGATCACAGTTGTTGAGGTCATCATGTCTGGAACACTAGGTGAGACAGTTGTAGATAGATCCTCTGAAGTGCCTTCTTTTCCAGGATGGGTGACCCATGGGGCTGTGTTCCCTGGTTGATCTGTGGAAACTTCCAGAGTTGTAGCTGTTGAATAGTTTTTTGTGCCAGAGCTAGTGGCCAGTGATGGTATCATTTCTGTTACACCTGAAGAGACAGCCAGAGTAGACATGGCTGAATTGGGCTGTTCACCAATGTGGGTGACAAATGAAACTGTGGAATGTGGTTCAGAAGGAGTAGGAATTGTGGAAGTAACAAGATCTGGAACACCAGTTGAAATGGAGTTAGGTAGAACACCTGAAGTGTCTTGTCTTTCTGCATGTGTTGTCCATGAGGCTGTGGACTCTGTTTGACCCGGGGAAACAAGTAGAGCTGGACTGGTTCCATGTGCCTCTGTCCCAGAAGTAGTGGCCTGTGATGTCATCATTTCTGTTACACCCGAAGAGACAACCTCAGTAGACATGGATAAACTGGGTTGTGCCTCAGCATGGGTAACCACTGATATTGTCGTCTGTGTTTCAGAAGGAGTGTGGGTCAGAATTGTTGAGGTTATGTTCTCTGGAGCACTAGGTGAGAGGGTTGTAGTTATAACATCTGAAGTGTCTGCCTTTACAGAATGGGTGACCCATGTACCTCTGGTCCCTGTTTGGTCTGTGGACACTGACAAAGATGTAGCTGTTAAATTGGTTTTTGTGCCAGAGCTAGTGGCCAGAGATGGTATCATTTCTGTTACACCTGAAGAGACAGCCATAGTAGGCATGACTGAATTGGGCTGTTCACCAATGTGGGTGACAAATGAAACTGTGGAATGTGGTTCAGAAGGAACAGGACTTGTGGAAGTAACAAGATCTGGAACACCAGTTGAAATGGAGTTAGGTAGAACACCTGAAGTGTCTTGTCTTTCTGCATGTGTTGTCCATGAGGCTGTGGACTCTGTTTGACCCTGGGAAACAAGTAGAGCTGGACTGGTTCCATGTGCCTCTGTCCCAGAAGCAGTGGTTGGTGATATCATCATTTCTGTTACACCTGAAGAGACAGCCTCAGTCGACATGGATAAACTGGGTTGTGCCTCAGCATGGGTAACCACTGATATTGTGGTCGGTGTTCCAGAAGGAGTGTGGGTCAGAGTTATTGAGGTCATCATGTCTGGAACACTAGGTGAAATGATTATAGATAGATCCTCTGAGGAGCCTTCTTCTCCAGGATGCATGACCAATGGGGCTGTGGTCCCTAGTTTATGTGGAGATGCATCCAGAGTTGGTGTCATGGACTGGCTCTCTGTGCTTAAGCTAATGCCCAGTGATAGTATCACATCTGTAATACCCACAGAGACAGGACTTGTAGACAAGATTGAACTAGGCTGTCCCTCATTGTGAGTGACAAATGACATGGTGTTATATGGTTCAGAAGGAATAAGGGTAGTTGTGGACATCATTTCTGGAACACTAGTTGAAATTGTTGTAGGTAGAACCCCTGATGTTGTATCTCTTTCAGGATGGGTGACCAATGGGGCTGTGGTCTCAGGCTGATCTTTGGAAACATCCAGAGTTGAAGTAATTACATAGCTTCCTGTGTCCAAGCTAGTGACTAGTGATGGTGGCATTTCTGTTACACCTGAAGAGACAGCCTGAGTAGACAGGAATGAGCTGGGATATCCTCCAGCATGGGTGACCAATGATGTTATGGTCTGTGGTTTAGAAGGAGTATGGATCAAAGTTGTTGTGGTCATGTCTGGAACACTAGGTGAGAAAGTTGTAGATAAATTTCCTGAAAAGTCTTCTGTTCCAGGATTGGTAACCCATGGGGCTGTGGACCCTGGTTGATCTGGGGAAAAAACCATATTTGGAGTCATAGAATGGCTTTCTGTGCTTGAGCTAGTGACTGGTGATGGTATCATTTCTGTAATATCTGGAGAGACAGGTCTTGTAGACAAGGTTGAACTGGACTGTCCCTCAATATGGGTGACTAATGACACTGCACTCTGTGGTTCAGCTGAAATAAGAGTTGTTGTGGACATCATTTCTGAAACACCAGTTGAAATGGTAGTAGGTGGAACCTGTGACGTGGCTTCTCTTTCAGGATGGGTGACCAATTGGGCTGTGGTATCAGGCTGACCTATGGAAACATCCAGAGTTGAAGTAGTTACATAACTCTCTGTGCCCAAGCTAGTGACTAGTGATTGTAGCATTTCTGTTACACCTGAAGAGACAGCATGAGTAGACATGGATGAATTGGGATGTCCACTAGTATGGGTGACCAACGATGTTATTGTCTGTGCTTCAGAAGGAGTGTGGGTCAGGATTGTTGAGGTCATCATATCTGGAACACTGGGTGAGATGGTTGAAGTTAGAACTCCTGAAGTGTCTTCTTTTCCAGGATGGGTGATCAATGGGGCTGTGGACCCTGGTTGATCTGTGGAAACTGCCAGATTTGAATAGTTTTTCATGCCAGAGCTAGTAGCCAGTGATTGTATCATTTTTGTTATATCTGGAGAGACAGCCATAGTAGGCATGGCTGAATTGGGCTGTTCACCAATGTGGGTGACAAACGAAACTGTGGAATGTGGTTCAGAAGGAATAGGAGTTGTGGAAGTAACAAGATCTTGAGCACCAGTTGAAATGGAGTTAGGTAGAAAACCTGAAGTGTCTTCTCTTTCTGCATGTGTTGTCCATGAGGCTGTGGACTCTGTTTGACCCTGGGAAAGAAGCAGAGCTGGACTGGTTCCATGTGCCTTTGTCTCAGAAGTAGTGGCCTGTGATGTCATCATTTCTGTTATCCCTGAAGAGACAGCCTGAGTAGACATGGATGAACTGAGGTGTCCACCAGGATGGGTGACCAATGATGTTATTGTCTGTGCTTCAGAAGGAGTCTGGGTCAGAATTGTTGAGGTCATTATATCTGGAACAGTATTTGAGAGAGTTGTACTTAGAATCTCTGAAGTGCCTTCATTCCAAGGTTGGGTGACCCATGAACCTGTGGCTGTAGGTTGATCTGGGGAAACAGACAGAGTTGAAGGCACTGAATGACCTTCCATGTTTGAGGTAGTGACAAGTAATGGTATCCTTTCTGTTACACTTGGAGAGACAGGGCTTATAGACATGGCTGAACTGGGCTGTCCCTCAACATGGGTGACCAATAACACTGTGCTGTGTTGTTCAGCAGAAATAAGACTAGGTGATGTCATCATTTCTGGTACACTAGGTGAGATGGTTGAAGATAGGGCCACCGATGTGGCTTTGCTTTCAGGATGGGTGACCAATGGGGCTGTAGTCTCATGCTGACCTTTGGAAACATCCAGAGTTGAAGTAATTACATAGCTTCCTGTGCCCAAGCTAGTTACTGGTGATGATGGCACTTCTGTTACACCTGAAGAGACAGCCTGAGTAGACATAGATAAACTGGGGTGTCCTCCAGCATGGGTGACCGATGTTATGGTTTGTGGTTCAGAAGGAGTGTGGATCACAGTTGTTGAGGTCATCATGTCTGGAACACTAGGTGAGACAGTTGTAGATAGATCCTCTGAAGTGCCTTCTTTTCCAGGATGGGTGACCCATGGGGCTGTGTTCCCTGGTTGATCTGTGGAAACTTCCAGAGTTGTAGCTGTTGAATAGTTTTTTGTGCCAGAGCTAGTGGCCAGTGATGGTATCATTTCTGTTACACCTGAAGAGACAGCCAGAGTAGACATGGCTGAATTGGGCTGTTCACCAATGTGGGTGACAAATGAAACTGTGGAATGTGGTTCAGAAGGAGTAGGAATTGTGGAAGTAACAAGATCTGGAACACCAGTTGAAATGGAGTTAGGTAGAACACCTGAAGTGTCTTGTCTTTCTGCATGTGTTGTCCATGAGGCTGTGGACTCTGTTTGACCCGGGGAAACAAGTAGAGCTGGACTGGTTCCATGTGCCTCTGTCCCAGAAGTAGTGGCCTGTGATGTCATCATTTCTGTTACACCCGAAGAGACAACCTCAGTAGACATGGATAAACTGGGTTGTGCCTCAGCATGGGTAACCACTGATATTGTCGTCTGTGTTTCAGAAGGAGTGTGGGTCAGAATTGTTGAGGTTATGTTCTCTGGAGCACTAGGTGAGAGGGTTGTAGTTATAACATCTGAAGTGTCTGCCTTTACAGAATGGGTGACCCATGTACCTCTGGTCCCTGTTTGGTCTGTGGACACTGACAAAGATGTAGCTGTTAAATTGGTTTTTGTGCCAGAGCTAGTGGCCAGAGATGGTATCATTTCTGTTACACCTGAAGAGACAGCCATAGTAGGCATGACTGAATTGGGCTGTTCACCAATGTGGGTGACAAATGAAACTGTGGAATGTGGTTCAGAAGGAACAGGACTTGTGGAAGTAACAAGATCTGGAACACCAGTTGAAATGGAGTTAGGTAGAACACCTGAAGTGTCTTGTCTTTCTGCATGTGTTGTCCATGAGGCTGTGGACTCTGTTTGACCCTGGGAAACAAGTAGAGCTGGACTGGTTCCATGTGCCTCTGTCCCAGAAGCAGTGGTTGGTGATATCATCATTTCTGTTACACCTGAAGAGACAGCCTCAGTCGACATGGATAAACTGGGTTGTGCCTCAGCATGGGTAACCACTGATATTGTGGTCGGTGTTCCAGAAGGAGTGTGGGTCAGAGTTATTGAGGTCATCATGTCTGGAACACTAGGTGAAATGATTATAGATAGATCCTCTGAGGAGCCTTCTTCTCCAGGATGCATGACCAATGGGGCTGTGGTCCCTAGTTTATGTGGAGATGCATCCAGAGTTGGTGTCATGGACTGGCTCTCTGTGCTTAAGCTAATGCCCAGTGATAGTATCACATCTGTAATACCCACAGAGACAGGACTTGTAGACAAGATTGAACTAGGCTGTCCCTCATTGTGAGTGACAAATGACATGGTGTTATATGGTTCAGAAGGAATAAGGGTAGTTGTGGACATCATTTCTGGAACACTAGTTGAAATTGTTGTAGGTAGAACCCCTGATGTTGTATCTCTTTCAGGATGGGTGACCAATGGGGCTGTGGTCTCAGGCTGATCTTTGGAAACATCCAGAGTTGAAGTAATTACATAGCTTCCTGTGTCCAAGCTAGTGACTAGTGATGGTGGCATTTCTGTTACACCTGAAGAGACAGCCTGAGTAGACAGGAATGAGCTGGGATATCCTCCAGCATGGGTGACCAATGATGTTATGGTCTGTGGTTTAGAAGGAGTATGGATCAAAGTTGTTGTGGTCATGTCTGGAACACTAGGTGAGAAAGTTGTAGATAAATTTCCTGAAAAGTCTTCTGTTCCAGGATTGGTAACCCATGGGGCTGTGGACCCTGGTTGATCTGGGGAAAAAACCATATTTGGAGTCATAGAATGGCTTTCTGTGCTTGAGCTAGTGACTGGTGATGGTATCATTTCTGTAATATCTGGAGAGACAGGTCTTGTAGACAAGGTTGAACTGGACTGTCCCTCAATATGGGTGACTAATGACACTGCACTCTGTGGTTCAGCTGAAATAAGAGTTGTTGTGGACATCATTTCTGAAACACCAGTTGAAATGGTAGTAGGTGGAACCTGTGACGTGGCTTCTCTTTCAGGATGGGTGACCAATTGGGCTGTGGTATCAGGCTGACCTATGGAAACATCCAGAGTTGAAGTAGTTACATAACTCTCTGTGCCCAAGCTAGTGACTAGTGATTGTAGCATTTCTGTTACACCTGAAGAGACAGCATGAGTAGACATGGATGAATTGGGATGTCCACTAGTATGGGTGACCAACGATGTTATTGTCTGTGCTTCAGAAGGAGTGTGGGTCAGGATTGTTGAGGTCATCATATCTGGAACACTGGGTGAGATGGTTGAAGTTAGAACTCCTGAAGTGTCTTCTTTTCCAGGATGGGTGATCAATGGGGCTGTGGACCCTGGTTGATCTGTGGAAACTGCCAGATTTGAATAGTTTTTCATGCCAGAGCTAGTAGCCAGTGATTGTATCATTTTTGTTATATCTGGAGAGACAGCCATAGTAGGCATGGCTGAATTGGGCTGTTCACCAATGTGGGTGACAAACGAAACTGTGGAATGTGGTTCAGAAGGAATAGGAGTTGTGGAAGTAACAAGATCTTGAGCACCAGTTGAAATGGAGTTAGGTAGAAAACCTGAAGTGTCTTCTCTTTCTGCATGTGTTGTCCATGAGGCTGTGGACTCTGTTTGACCCTGGGAAAGAAGCAGAGCTGGACTGGTTCCATGTGCCTTTGTCTCAGAAGTAGTGGCCTGTGATGTCATCATTTCTGTTATCCCTGAAGAGACAGCCTGAGTAGACATGGATGAACTGAGGTGTCCACCAGGATGGGTGACCAATGATGTTATTGTCTGTGCTTCAGAAGGAGTCTGGGTCAGAATTGTTGAGGTCATTATATCTGGAACAGTATTTGAGAGAGTTGTACTTAGAATCTCTGAAGTGCCTTCATTCCAAGGTTGGGTGACCCATGAACCTGTGGCTGTAGGTTGATCTGGGGAAACAGACAGAGTTGAAGGCACTGAATGACCTTCCATGTTTGAGGTAGTGACAAGTAATGGTATCCTTTCTGTTACACTTGGAGAGACAGGGCTTATAGACATGGCTGAACTGGGCTGTCCCTCAACATGGGTGACCAATAACACTGTGCTGTGTTGTTCAGCAGAAATAAGACTAGGTGATGTCATCATTTCTGGTACACTAGGTGAGATGGTTGAAGATAGGGCCACCGATGTGGCTTTGCTTTCAGGATGGGTGACCAATGGGGCTGTAGTCTCATGCTGACCTTTGGAAACATCCAGAGTTGAAGTAATTACATAGCTTCCTGTGCCCAAGCTAGTTACTGGTGATGATGGCACTTCTGTTACACCTGAAGAGACAGCCTGAGTAGACATAGATAAACTGGGGTGTCCTCCAGCATGGGTGACCGATGTTATGGTTTGTGGTTCAGAAGGAGTGTGGATCACAGTTGTTGAGGTCATCATGTCTGGAACACTAGGTGAGACAGTTGTAGATAGATCCTCTGAAGTGCCTTCTTTTCCAGGATGGGTGACCCATGGGGCTGTGTTCCCTGGTTGATCTGTGGAAACTTCCAGAGTTGTAGCTGTTGAATAGTTTTTTGTGCCAGAGCTAGTGGCCAGTGATGGTATCATTTCTGTTACACCTGAAGAGACAGCCAGAGTAGACATGGCTGAATTGGGCTGTTCACCAATGTGGGTGACAAATGAAACTGTGGAATGTGGTTCAGAAGGAGTAGGAATTGTGGAAGTAACAAGATCTGGAACACCAGTTGAAATGGAGTTAGGTAGAACACCTGAAGTGTCTTGTCTTTCTGCATGTGTTGTCCATGAGGCTGTGGACTCTGTTTGACCCGGGGAAACAAGTAGAGCTGGACTGGTTCCATGTGCCTCTGTCCCAGAAGTAGTGGCCTGTGATGTCATCATTTCTGTTACACCCGAAGAGACAGTCTCAGTAGACATGGATAAACTGGGTTGTGCCTCAGCATGGGTAACAACTGATATTGTCGTCTGTGTTTCAGAAGGAGTGTGGGTCAGAATTGTTGAGGTTATGTTCTCTGGAGCACTAGATGTGAGGGTTGTAGTTATAACATCTGAAGTGTCTGCCTTTACAGAATGGGTGACCCATGTACCTGTGGTCCCTGTTTGATCTGTGGTCACTGCCAGAGTTGTAGCTGTTGAATTGATTTTTGTGCCAGAGCTAGTGGCCAGTGATGGTTTCATTTCTGTTACACCTGAAGAGACAGCCATAGTAGACATGGCTGAATTGGGTTTTTCACCAATGTGGGTGACAAATGAAACTGTGGAATGTGGTTCAGAAGGAATAAGAGTTGTGGAGGTTACAAGATCTGGAACACCAGTTGAAATGGTGCTATTTGGAACCCCTGAAGTGCCTTCTCTTTCAGTGTGAGTTGCCCATGAGGCTGTGGTTTCTGTTTGTCCTGGGGAAGCAAGTAGAACTGTGCTGGTTCCATGTGTCTCTGTCCCAGAAGTAGTGGCCTGTGATGTCATCATTTCTGTTATCCCTGAAGAGACAGCCTGAGTAGACATGGATGAACTGAGGTATCCACCAGGATGGGTGACCAATGATGTTATTGTCTGTGCTTCAGAAGGAATCTGGGTCAGAATTGTTGTTGTCATCATGCCTGGAACAGTAGGTAAGGTCATTGTACTTAGAACCCCTGAAATATCTTCTTTTCCCAGGTGTGTAACCCATTGGACTTTGGTCCCTGGTTGATCTTGGGAAACAGCTAAATTTGAAATCACTGAATGGCTTTTTGTGCCTGAGGTAGTGACAAGTAATGGTATTGTTTCTGTTGTATGTGGAGGTTCAGGCCTTGTAGACATGGCTGAACTGGACTGTTCCACAATGTTGGTGACCAATGTAACCCTAGTATATGGATCATGAGGAATAAGAGTTGGTGAGGTCATCATTTCTGGCACACTAGGTTTGATGGTTGTAGATAGAACCCCTGACGTACCTTCTCTTCCAGGATGGGTTACCCCTGGTGTTGTAACCTCTGGTTGTATGGGGGATAAAGTTGTATTTGAAGTCACTCTGTGGCTTTCTGTGCCCAAGCTCTTGACCCACGATATCACTTCTGTTATACCCTGTGAGACTGCCAGGGTATTTATGGCTGAACTGTGTTGTCTCCCAGCATGAGTGGCCAATGATGCTGTCTTCTGTGGTTCAGCAGGAGTGTGGTTCAGGATAGTTGAGGTCATCATGTCTGGAACACTAGATACTGAGTTTGTAGTTTGAATCCCTGAAATGGCTGCTTCTATTTCAGGGTTGTTGATCCAAGATGTTGTTTTCTCTTGTAGTCTTGGGGAAGAAGTTAGAGTTGAAGTTCTTGCATGGCTTTCTGTACTTAAGTTAGTGAGCAGTGATGTGGTTACTTCTGTTATACCTGGAGAGACAGCCAGAGTAGACATGGCTGAACTGAGCTCTTTTCCAGCATTGGTTATCAATGAAATTGTGGTCTGTAGTTTAGGAGTTTGGTTCACAGATTTTGAGGTCACCATGTCTAGAACACTAGGTGAGATTGTTGTACTTAGCATCCTTGAATTCACTTCTGTTCCAGGATTCATGGTCCATGAGGTTGTGGTCTTTGGTTGACCTGGGGAAATAGTCCAATTTCTGATATGGATTCCTGTCTCAGAGCTAGATACACCTGGAGAGACAGCAACAGTAGACATGGGTGAACTAGTTTTTCCCCCAGAATGAGAGATCAGAGAAATTTTGGTATGTGGCTCAGAAGATTGAGGCGTCAGAATTGGTTTGGATGTTCTTGTACCTTCCTTAGAAGTGTGGCCTTCTGAGGTTATCATATCTGGAATGCTAGATGAGATATCTATAGTTGGAGCAGATGATCTGGTTTCCTGTTCATTAGTGGTAGTTGTTGGGGGTATGGAATGAAATTCAACATGGGGAAAACTTGTGTTTGTCCTTGGAACTCTGGAGCTGATCTCTTCAGGATTGGGAACAAATGAGGCTGATGTACCTGCTTCACCTGGTATAGCAGTAAGAGTTGTAACAGAACTATCTTCTGATATGGCAGAAAGGGTTACTTGTGATGATGTTTTCTCCAGTTCTTGTGAATAACTTGTTATTGTTGGGGAAATTGTACTGGTGTATATCTCAGAACTAGGAACTAGTGAAGTCATTATCCCAAGTAAATTAGAGGAAGTGGTTGTAATTGGAAGGGATGAAGTTTTCTGTTGCCCAGCATGAGTGATCATTGAGACTCCTGTCTCTGGTTTATCGGAAGAAGGAGTCAAAGTTGGAATAGTGGTGCTGGTGACTGTCCTAAAAGTAGGGACAAGTGAAGTCAATACTTCTGATACAGTACGTGACAAAGTAGAAGTTGAAGAATCTGATTTGGCTTCTGTCTCAGAACTGGTGGCCATTGAGGGTAAACTATCTGATACAGTATTGGAAACATCTGGAGTTATCAGGAGGACTGTTAGGTTAGTCTCTGAAGAATGAGTATCCCATGATTCTGTTTCATCTGTCCCATCAGGTAAAGTAGATAGAGTTAAAATATCTGAAGTTCCTTCTCTGCCAGAATGAGTGACCCAGGAGGCTATGGTGTCTGGTTCACTTGGGGAAAAAACTGGAATTGGAGTGGTTGCATGTGTCTCTGCCCCAGAACTAGAGACCAGTGATGTCTTCACTTCTGTTACACCTAGAGCGACACCTGAAGTAGAAATGGCTGAACTTGTTTCTTCCCCTGCATTGGTTGTCAGGGAAACTATAGTCTGTGGTTCAGAAGAAAGAATTCGAATTGATTTAGCTGTTCTTGGGTCTGTACCAGAACTAGAGACCTGTGAAGTCACCATATCTGGGGCAACCGGTAAGATAGTTGTGGTTAGAACAGTTGAACTGGCTTCTGGACCAATAATTGTGGATATGGGAGGTGTAGTGTCTAAATCCATATAAGAAAAACTTGGCCTTATATTGGGAAGAGTTGGGATATCCTTTGAATGATAGTTGACTAAAGACCCTGTTTCATGTGGCTCACTAGGTGTTCCAGTCCCTGTTGGAACCTCAGAACTAGTTTCATCTCCAGGATGGCTGACTTCTGAAGCAGTGGTCTCTGGTTGACTTGGGAAAGAAATCTGAGTTGGAAATAGATTTGTTTTTATTTCACTACTAGTGACATGTGACATCATCTCTGGAACATTGGGGGAGACAGTCAGAGTAGCAATGGTTAAATTCATCTGTGACCTATGGTGGCTGACCATTGATACTGTGGTATCTGACTCATCATCAGAAATAGACTGAGATGGAGTACTTTCACTAGTTACTGTTGAAAAACTAGTAGTCAGTGAGGTCAGAACCTCTGACACCTCAGGTGAAAAAACAGAAGATGAGCCAGCTAAATTTGTTTCTGTCCCAAGACTGGAAGCCACTGAGGGTGTAACATTTAATCCATGGTGAGAAAAACCTGGGGCTGTCTTCAGAACTGTAGGGCTGATCACTTCATGAGGAGTGACTAATGAAATTGTTGTATCTGGCTCACCAGGAAGAACAGACAAAGTTGGGACAGCTGAACTGGACTTTGCCTCAAGATGAATGGTCCATGGGATGGTGGTCTCTGGCTGACCTGTGGAAATAGTCGAAGTTGGAGACAGACTTCTTTTTTTTCCAGAACTAGTTATGAGTGAGGTCAACATTCCTGGTAAAGTAGGAGAATTAGATGGAATTGTAATAGCTGAACTTATCTGGGATCCAGCATGGGTAGCAAATGAGGCTGTTGTTTCTGGTTTAGAAAAAGGAACAGTCAAAGATGGAGTACTTGTACTGGTCACTGCTCTAGAAGTAGTGAGCAGTGAGGTATTTGGTACACCAGGTGCAGTCACTGTAGTTGGCAGGGCAGAGCTGGCTTCTTCCCCAGTACTTGTGGTTGTTGACAGTGTCAAATATGATCCATCATGCGAAAACGTTAGGGCTGTCTTAGGAACAGTAAAGCTTGTCTCTGTAGGATGGGTAATCCCCGATACTGTTGTTTTTGGCTCACCAGAGGAAATACTCACAGTGGAAATGGTTGAGGTGAGTTTTGTCCCAGTCTGGGTGATCCAAGAGGTTGTATTAAACAATTGATCTGGAAAAGCAATCAAAGTTGAGGTAGTTGACTCCATTACCTTTCCTAATACAGTAGCCAAAGTAGTTGTATTTAGAATAGCTGTAGTTTCCCATGCTTCAAGATCAGTGGCAAGTGTTTCAGTGGACTCTTGTTCACCAGCAGGAGTCACAGTTGATGCACTAGTATTTTTCTGTCTGGTCTGAGAACTAATGACCAGTGAGGTTCTCAATCCTGTTATAGTAGGTGATGTAGTAGTGGTTGGAAGGGTTGGCATGACTTCTGTCCCATGGGTAGTATCCATTGAGAGTGTGGTAGTAGCAGTTTCACCATTGGAAATGTCAAGAATATTTTCAGAATCAGGGATTCTGCTCTGTGAAAGGTGCATGACTGCTGAGGCTGTTGCATCTGACTCACCAGGGACAACAGTCAGACTTTGGAGAGCTGGCTTGGTCTCTGCTCCAGAATTAATATCCAGTGAGGTTGCCATTCCTGATGTGTCAGTAGAAAAAGTGCTGGCAATAGAATAATCCACCTCCATCCCAGGATGGGTGACCCCAGACTCTGTTGTCTTTGGTTCACTCAGGGAGTCAGTAAGAGCTGAAATAAACATACTAGTGTTTTCTTCAGGTCTACTAATCAGTGAGGTTGCCAAATCTGGTATAGTAGATAAAACAGTTAATGCTGGAAAAGTTGAACTGACTTCTCCTCTGGGAGTGGTGGCTGTGGACACTATGGAATCGGATTCACCTTGAGAAATATTCATGGTTATCTTGGCAACAGGTGAAGTAATCTCTAAAGGATGGGTGACCCATGAGACTGTATCAGACTCACCAGAGGAGATGTTCAAAGTATGAACATCTGGGCTGGTCTCTGTCCTAAGACTGGGGATCAATAGGGCTGTGCTCTCTGGTTCTTTACTGTAAGATGATGGTCTTGTCCTGAGGACCATGCTAGTGTTTTCTCCAGAGCCTGTAGGAAATGATGCTGCTATCCCTAGGACATCATGGGAAGCATCTGAGGCTGTGATAATCATCTCTGTTGTGTTTATGTTGCCTATTTTCTCTGGTGTCTTGAGGTGAGTCAAGGGTCTTGAAGTTGTAGTAGGGATTTTGGTGGTTGAAGTGGCAATGGAAGTAGCATTCAGAGCTGTGGCAGTGGTCTCCACTTTTACTGTCCCTTTTGTGGTTAGCTCTGTAAGTTGAGACATGCAACACAAATTGTAAAAATGTTTACACTTTCTAGATAGGCAATTAAAATTTTTTTCTCTACATGATGAAAGGGAGAGAAATATCTTATGAAAGTGCTGCTTTCCTGGGATGTGGGTAGCATGATCTGGGCAGGGAAAAAGTGAGTTTTGCTATATGGCTCATCTGTTTCCTCCACTCATGCTTTTTTTAAAATTTTCTGGTGTGTGTGTGTGTGTGTGTGTGTGTGTGTGTGTGTGTGTGTGTGTGTGTGTATGTGTGTGTGGAGTGTATGAGAGAGAGACAGAGAGCAGAGAGACAGGGTTTCCTGTTTCGTAGGCCAGCCTTAAACTCACTACACAACTGAGGGCCTTCTTAAACTTTTGATCTGACTGCCTCCTAAGTACTGAGATTATAGATCTGCATCATCACATTTAGTATATATGGTGCCAAGGACAGAAACTCAGGACTCTGTGAATTCTAGGCAAGCCCTCTACCAACTGAGCTACAACTTTAACCCTCTTGTATCCTTTTGAGCTGTAACTGCTCGATAAATTTGTGTCCACACTTATTCAATCCTTGTTCCTCTCTATTTTCTGTATGACTCAATGATGAGCTCTTCCTTCCTCCTAACCTACCTATCCCTCATCAGACCCCATCAATTCTGATGATTTTCATGGGCAAGCTTAAATCCACCTTCACTGAGAATTCATTATATTTCATTTTCTCCATATTTTTTTTGCCACAATGTCTGAATTGAATTTTAATCTCCAGCAGTCCTGGCTCTTAACAACTATTAATGTTTGACTGTTTCACATGTGGTAGGTGTGGTATTCAACTCAAAGTCTTGAGTGAATAAACAAATGAGGACATGAAAGAATGGTACATCAGAATGCACCTCCTTTGACTTGAAAGAGGTGACATGTGTCATTTGTTTGAAAGTTTGAGTTCCATAATGTGATAGTCCTGTGCTGATTTTGTCTTTTTACTAGAGATGTGGCTGTAAAGGAAATTGCTTGGCTTTGTTCAAACCAAGGTTTCCTAGCACTGTTTGATTACATAATCTTTTTTGTCTGGAAAACACCTAACATTTCATGGTATTGATGTGCACATTTATGAGTACACATGGGCTGGGCATGGAGCTCATTGGGTATAATATTTACCCAGCATTTATGGGGTTCAATCCCTAGAACTACATAATCTGGGTATGGGGGTGCACACCTGTAAATACTGTGACCCAGACTATGATCTGCACACTAAGGTACCTTAAACTGACTTCCTTCTCTTCTTTGCCTTCTCTGCCAAGTACATTCTGGGACCACTCTCCACTTAGGATAGACTACGTGGCTCCATGTCTTAGATTAAAAGACTGCATCTTAGGAAGCCTGTGAAGGATACTTCACCACAGGTTAAAATCAGTAGTTCTGACTTAGTGCTGACTTTGTCAGAAACCTAGATTTTCAAAGTCTCCAAAGTAGCTTACTAAAACCTGGGCTCCCACTGAGTCTGTGGGGAAAATCCTCAACATCTTTAGCTATTACAAAATGCAGAACTACACTAAGATTCACTTTCATCCTAGTCCAAATGACATTTAAGTACAAAGTAAAAAACAAACGCTTGTAACTATTGGAGAAAAATGAACATTATACACTGTTGGTGGGAATTTAAGCTACTGAGTCTATCCATTTCAGAAAAAGAGTATACAGGTTCCTTAAGAAACTAAAAACAGGAAACAGCACAGATGGCTCCATGCTTAGGAGCACTTTCTGCTCATGCAGAAGACCCATTTTTTGGTTCAAAGTATCCACTTAGTGACATATAACAACCCATAACTCCAGTCCCAGGGATCTCATGCCCCCTTTTACTTTCACAAGCACCAGACATGCCTAGAATCCCTCAGTGTGGAGCCAGGGGCATGGTCTGTGGTAGAGCCTCTACCTAGAATCTTCCAGTGAGGAACCTGGAGATGTGGCTCAGAAGCAGAGTTCTTGACTTAAAATATGCTAATGAGGAGCTGAGCAGGCTTCAGCAATAGTGTACTTGCCTAGCATGTAAAAGCTGCCATGGCTTACCACCAGCATGCTCCCCCACACAAAGTTGCATTATAATTATTTTGTTCCTTTAATGTCTTTCTATGCATTCTCAGTTTACATCTTAGTCTCCAAGATATGTATTTTATTAAATTAGCATATCAGGGTGGACATGGAGGTACTTATCTGACATCTTAGCATGTAGAAGATTATGACAGTACAATTGTGAGTCTAAGGCTAGCTTGGATTACATAGAAAGGCTTTAAGAGAAAGAATGGGGAGAGAGAGATTAAAGTTTGAGATCTAGAGTAAATCTTGCTCAGCATGTTATGAGAATACTATTATACACTGCCTTCTACACAGTAACCATTAAACAAAGATCCAGCTTAGACAAGCATTCATGAAAACCATATAGTATTCTCTTTAAGGAAATCAAGAGGTTTGGTGCTCTGGAACAGGAAATAAAGCAAGGGGTATTATTTTTACTTTCTAGGGAGTAAGCACAGTGGGACTTACCTTTAGGGCTAGTAGGCGATGTAGAAGCCAGAGGGCCCTTTCCCAGGCCAGCAGTGTCTCCATGGGCAGCTCCATCAGGTATCTCTGTGTGGGACTGTGTGCCGTCTTCTGTTTCTGCAGGTGAGAGTGAGGAAGAAGACAGGTAAGTATCTCTCCCAGAAAGACTGTACTGTCTACATAGATCACTTCATTGAGTACATGCCACTCTTTTCTAGAATCCATGACAGTGACTTTGAGCCACAGCTACACAGGATGAATAACCAGTCCCTATATCCATCACCTTCCTATAAATTTATCAGTTTGCCAATATGTCTATGTGCAGATCTAATAGCCTTTCCTTTCTTTTACCCTTTGCTTTCTACTGTCAATCTTTATTTCATCTCTCTCTCTCTCTCTCTCTCTCTCTCTCTCTCTCTCTCTCAATCTCCCTCCTTTCTTCCCTCCCATCCTCATTTCCTTATTTCCTTCCTTTTTTTTTCAAAGCAGTGTCTCATACAGCACAAGCAAGCTTCAAATTTGATACATAGCTGAGGATTACCTTGAATTTCAGCTCCTCCTGTCCCCAAGCTTTTGAGCACTTGGAAGACAGGTGAGTACCACCATACCTACATGATGCAATGCTGGGGTGGAACCAAGAACCTTGAGCATGCTAAGCAGCACTCTACCAAATAAATCACATCCCACTTTCACTTTCTGTCTGTCCTCCTTTTCTCCCTCTTTACTTAAATGTGTTCTTATCTTCTTATTTGATTTGGTTTCACTTCAGAGTATGATCGAACTACAACAAGAATCAAAGTAAAGTATGGTGTTATAGACCTGAAATCCAAACACTTAGTATGCTGAGGCAGAAGAATCCTAAGTTTGAGGCCTGCTTGGTGATATATAAAGGCAATGTACAGAGAAAGCGAATCAATGATTTCAAATATCTGCCTTTCTTGTGAAGTGTTCAAACTATCTGAATAGGGACTCAAACATACTTCCTCTGGAGATTTCCTAATGAAGGTATTAATGTTGTTGCAGGGCATTTTTTGGATTTGTGTCACAAATGAAATCTGGTATCAAATTTAATTCTCTTGTTGTGATAGTATCCCTAAAAGGTCTTCTCCTGTATTTACTGGCTTCTGGGTCCCTCCCACATCATCAGGTACCTTATTCCTTCCGCTTTCAGGATCACATGTTTTTCCTTCTTACCTTTTGACTCTGTTGTGATTCTAGCAGCATGTCCATCACAAAGGCAGAAACTCTTCTTTGAGTCAGGTCTAGTGGTACTACAATGTCTATAATCTCTGCTGTGTGGGCAGCTAGGGCAGGACTATTTCAAATTCAAGGTCAGTATGAGTTTACAGAATGAATTTCAGCTTAGCTTGTGCCTCCATATGCCACACATATACATAAAACAAGGGCTGCCTTTGCTGCTAAGAATAAAGCACATGTGTCAATCCATATGGAATAACCTTCCAAAACAATCCAAAGAAAAATCTCTCCCTTTTATCTACATGTTACTGTGGTTGAAGTCTAGTCCTCTGTGCTTCACTAATCTATCCCCTGAGGATCCCCATGTTGTCACAATACCTCTCACTTTATGGCAGCTTAGCATTTCTGTAGTTTTTGACAGAGTTTACAATTTCTCTCTAAAATCTTGTCTTCCTATGGCTACTGCCATGCCAGAATCTCTTGTGTTTTCTGCTAGCTTTTTAACTACCCCTTTTAAATTAATGATTAAGAACATAAATTCCTACTCCAGAATAGTTTGAATTTTTTTGGTTTTTTTTTTTGGGGGGGGGAGCATGCTGTGGTTCAAACCTATGGCATTATGCACCCTAGGGGGAGTATTCTAACACTAAGCTATACCTCTGTCTCATTGGTTTTTTCAGATAGGGCCTCACTGTATAACTTTGGTTTTCTTTGAACACAGGCTCTTTTGGCCTCAGTTTCCCACATGCTAGGGTGACAGGCATGCACCAAGCACACCTAAGTTCTTAGCTTAGTTCTGTCACTTATGAGCTTTATGATAGTGAGAAAATTATTTCACATCTTCTATGTATCGCAACTTCATTACCCACAAAATAATATTACAATTTAATATTACAATTAAAACCTTTGTGAAACAGTGTTGACATAGAAATAAGTACTGTATAAGCTGAATTGTCATTATCAACACTGTTAATTAGCATTAAGAATCATAGTAGACCATCTATAACATTGTAATTATTGACTTGCTTTTTTTTTCTGTTTTGCCCATGGCTAGCTCAGTTATTAGAAGTGATTGGTGTTACTAGTTCAACCAATGTTTGCTAAAGAAACTTATAGAATGGGGTTAGAGGGTATAGGTCATCTATATAGCATTTGACTCACATGTGCAAGGTCCTAGGTCCAATGTCCAGTAACACACAAAACAGGATTTATGCTTTTAAACAGTTGGATAAATTTAAAAATGTAAAGTATATACAATAGAGTTTTACTCAGCCATAATTTGTAGGAACTAGATACGGTCATGTTAAACAATATTGGGCAGACAGATAAATAAATATCATAGATTTTATGTCATGTGGAAACAAACATACAAAAGCCCTAAGAGCAGAAAACTGACTACAGAGGAAGTGGAAGGAATCTAGAAGATAGAGAAGAAAGTGAGAAGAGTTCGTAGTAGGAAGTGGGGATGATGAGAGCATTGTTTGAGCATGTATGACAATATCAGAATGAAAGTCAGTAATTTGTACAATTTGTATGATTTAATAATGCTAACTGTAGTAATCATAAATAAATATGAATGCAATAATGAACTCCTAATTTTCTTTCTACCTCTTAGGAAAGGGATATTGCCTATGATCCTCCCACGTCTGTAAATGGAAGTGTAGGGACAGTGGGTTCTTACTTATCAACCTGGTTAAATGTGTAGGAACCTGAAAAACATTTATCACCCTTCCCAAGTCAGAACTTTCAGTCATTGTGTTTTTCAAGAAGGGTGATAAAGATGTCTTGATGGGATGCGTTCTATAGGCTTAAAAGTTCTAAATATAATCATGGGATCTTGAAAGCGGCCACTCATTCCAACAACACTGTTATCTTCTGTTTGTAAATTACCTGAAGGAGTAATCCTGTGGAGGGCTGGGCTGCTTGTAAAGTCAGTGCCAGTGGAAGCAGGAAAGGGCAGTGGTGTAGAAGCTGAAGAAGGTAGCTTTTCTACAATGGTGGAAACCAAAACATCTCCATGACTTGATTTTGTAATAGAAAGAGGACTGCTAGAAGTCACAGCTGAGCTGCCTTTTGGAATGCTAGTTGTGGCAAATGAAGCCATCTCTTCTGTTGGAGAAAGGGTTGTTGTTTCAATAAAAGTGGTCTCATCTGAAGGTAACATATCAGTTCTTGGAACATGAGTACTTTCTGGTGAAGGCATAGTAAAATTGGATTCTGGGGAGGATGTTACCCCAGTAAACTCTACAATAGATGGAGAAGTGTTTAAGATAGTGATTGATTCTACGGGAGCTTCAGTAAACTGTGAAGATGGAGTCTGATGTGGAGTTGATATGTTCATAGCAGAAGTGATGACAGCACTCTCAGAACTTGGCAAAATGAGAGTGGACACAGGAGCTGAAGGTATCTTTGTTTGGAGGGACATGCTAGTGTCCCTCAGTCCAGAAGTCAAATGGGAAAATTGCTCAGTATCAGATCTCGTAGTCTCTAAATAGGCAGGCAATGGTGTGGACATAGAAGTCACCCATATGGAGGAAGAAGGACCCATTGTATAGGCGTCCCTGGATGATTCAGGGGGTATTGGTACAGAGGAACTTAGCTCATGTCCCGTACTGATGGTCTTCATGTTGGTTACTTTGAATTTTGAGGAAGAATAAAACTTTTCTGTATCAGTAGTAACTTCAGATAAGCCCAATATTTCATGTGAGGTGCTGCTCAAATTTGGAGGTGAACTTGTTCCAGTTTCCAAGCTTCTGCTCAATGTATCTGTTGTCTTAAAAGACTCAGAGGTGGGGAATGAAGTCTCAGGAAAAGAAGTGGGGTTTGAACTATGTGGTGATAGAGAGAAAGCAGAAGAAGGTGATGTCTTTGTTGGTAATGTCAACAAGGAAGAGGTAGAACCATCTGGTGAAGCAGCATCAAATGATACAGTGTTTTGGAACTGGGGTCCAGGAGTGGTTATGTCCACACTGGATACTTCAGTTCTGGTGAAAGAGTAAGATGTTTGAGAGGTTCTGGTGTCCTTTGAAGTGGCTAACTCACTGTTTCTCCAGGTTGGAAATAAAGTTGTAAAAGAAGGTAAGTTTGTGTCCAACTCCTTTGTGGTTGTCTGCCCAAAAGAGAATGTGGGGGGCATAGAAGTAGGAGAGGAGAGACTTTGTCCTTCTGATGTGGAAGTAGCAGGAAAAGATGATGTTGTCCCAGGTATTTCTGCAGAATTCACAGAGGGAGTTGCTTCATGGGATGGGGAACCTGTCCATGACAGTGACTCAGAACTGCTGAGATAAGTCACGGAGTCTGGGTGTAGAAATGTCTGAGTTGCTGCAGAGAGGGCCCCAGTATCAGTACTGGTACCTGATGTGTTCCAAAGAGTGGTGACTTTGGATGATTCTGCAGCATTAATTACTTGACTGATACCAATATCTGGGAAGGAAAGTGTAGAGATACTGGAAGTACTTCCTACTGAGATGTCTGTTGTCTTTGTGAAGGATCCAGAGCTTGCAATAGATAGTCTCTCAGTTGAGTTAGCTTCTGCTCTTGTAAACCCTGTAGAAGTCCTAGTGAGTACTATGAAAAGATCAGAATTGGATTTTGTCATCAAGTTAGTATCTTCAGACATGGTCATTTCCTGTTCTACTGAAGTTAGCGGGAAATCTTTCTGAGTTTCTGTATGAGCAGGTTTAGATAAGGGCATTAATGTAGAAAGTGTTGTGTCCCAATTGCTTTGTGAGGTCATAATTACAGTTGTTATTCTTGATGGAACTGAATTAACTAGGACAGTGCCTTGGGAATGCACTCCTGGACTATTGGTTTTTACTCTAGTTGTTGGGTTTTTAGAGGAAATGTGACTTGTCTTCAAGTTCCTTATGTTATTTGAAGGACCTAGAGTTGAAATCTCTGTGGTATCCAGGCCTTGGATTGAGGTACTCCCAGAAGCTACACTTTTGTCTTTTCCTTTTGAGGTTGTCTCTTGAATAGAAGTTACAAGTGCCGTCACAAAATCAAGGGAAGAGACATTTTGTACTTGTGATGTAGAAATAACAGGCGAAGGTGTGGTTTTCTCAATCACAGTTGATGCTGAATCTGAAGAAGTGTGTTTTTTCTTGGGTAAGGAACTTACATGTGACTGTTCCTCAGAACTCTTGGATTGAGATATCAATGCTAAATGTGGAGATGTTTGAGGCTCAGGTGAAGAAAACTCTGCCATAGAAACAGTGGTTGCAGTGTCCCTGGATAGGGTATCATATAATAAAGACCCAGAATTACCTGCCTCAAAGATGGAGGTTAACTCTATGTGTTCTTTTGTGCTAGGGTAGGTAATGTGGCTGGGAATGCTTCCAATGGTGATGTCTTCTGATGCTGAGAAATAAAAAGGGCTTTTTGTGGAGACTCTGGCAGCTGTAATGGACTCTGAAATGGAGAGGCCAGTAGACATGCTAGGGGGCAACTGAGAAAAAACAGTATCGTGTTTTGTGCCAATGGTGGTCTCTTCAAGAATGGTAGTTTGTGGAAGTGATTGGCTCAGGGAAGAAGCTGTGTGAGCCATAATTCCAGAGGCATCAGAAAATTTTGCCTGTGAAACAGAAACTGTAGTATCCACCAATGGATGCTGAAACATGGTTGAAAATGCAGTTTTAGATGAAACTGATGCAGGAGTGGTAGAAGATTTGGATTGGGATATGGAATTGCTGGCTTCCATTATTGTCTCTGCTTTAAGAGAGGAAGCAGAGCTTGTCTGTGAGAATTTGGTGACCTGTGAAGTCTCTTGGCCTGAATGTGTACTACTGCTCCAATTTGGAAGTGAAGTAGACAAATCATGAATATCCAACCCAGTTGTGACTACCTCCCTAGAAGAGGTGAAGGCAGAGGCCACAGAACTAGGAGATGGGGTGCTATGTTCTACTGTGGAAGTACCAGAGGAAGTTAAGTTAGAGCCATCAAGATATCCTGGAGAATTGGCAGGCCGGCTTCCTTTCAGAGTTGGAAAAGTTGCAGTTGATGGGACTTCATAACTTTGGCTTAGAAAAGTGGATGTTTCTGTGACTAGGGGAACTGGAGTGAAACTAGTGAGATTGTGGGACACTGAAGACACAGGTGATGTTTCCAGGGAGAGGACCATGTTTGATGTCACTTCAGAATCCCCAATCTGGCTGGTAGATATTTCTTCTGATTCTGTGATGTTGGAGCCATAAAGCTTGGTGATAACTCCACTAGACATATCTTCTGCTGTAAACTTGGTATCTTCTGAAGTAAACTGCTGAAGCATTGGAAATATTGTGTTATCAGGAGACATGGATACTGTTCTAGATGCAGGAAGAGAGGAACTGTAAGGCACTTCAGAATGGCTACTAATGGAATCTGTGCTCAAGTGCAGCTTCTCAGGTATATTAGCTTGTGTCAATGTTGTCAGAAGGGTAAATGTCTCTGTCCCAGTCTTCTCATGTTCAAATGATGTTGGCTGTGTAGGTGAAAGAGTAGCTATTTGGGTGATGGGAAGGGTAGTGGGGAAAGCTTTATTTTCAGATGACACTGATGTAGGTGTGATGGTGTGTTTTAATTGGGGTACAGAACTGCTGGCTTTCATGTTGGACCCTGGTGTGACTGAGGAAAATTTACTCATCTTTGAGTTTTGGGAAGCATGTGCAGTGTTTGAGCTTTGCTGAGAAATGGTGCTCCAGCTTGAAATGTAAGTAGTCACAGGATCTGAACTTATATGTGAATCTGTTGGGAATAGATCCTTGGTAACTGTGAAAACAGAGGCCACAGAATCAGGAGAGTGACTACTGTGTCTGTCTGGCAAGGAAGCACCAGGGGTCAGTGAAAGTAATCCTGATGTTGCTGTGGAATCTGTAGACACAGAACCTTCCCCAGAAGTAAGTGTCCATGATGCTGAAGCAGGACTGTTGAAAGGAACTGTGGATTCTGAATGTGGATATGTATGCATTCCACTAGAGTGGGTGTCCTTGACTGAGGTAGTGCTGGATGTGTCTGGGTAAGTAAAAATGTCTGTCATAACTAGAGAGTGTCCCATGGGTCTGCTTGTCATCTCTTCTGATTCTGTACTGATGGCTGAGGTAGGGAGACTGGTGGAGATCACAGTGGAAGTATCTTCTGATGTTGACTGATGAGGGGTTGGAAGAGATGTGCTGTCATCAGACATGGCTCCTGTCCTAGACTCAAAAAGGGAAGGGCTAGTGGGTAGTCCACTCTGGCTAGGACTGTATTCTGTGGTTGAATTTATGTCTTCAGATGTACTGAAATCTGTCCATACTGTCCTCAGGGAGGAAGCTGTGCCTGTCTCAGTCTCTGTGCTTTCAGATGAGACTGGCTGTGAAGGTGAAGGTCTAGTATGTTCCATGATGGGCATAATGGTTGTGAAAGATTTCTTTTCTGGTGAGGCTGATGTAGATGTGATTGTGCGTTTGGCTTGGGTTGTGTAAGTCCCATCTTCCATGCCATTCTCTGGTGTGAGTGAGGAAACAGAGGTTTTCTGTGAGATTGTGGACAGTCGAGCACTGGTGGAGCTTGGTATCGAATGAGTCACTGATCCTGAGGTTGTAAATAGTCTGGAAGGGATTGGGTCCTTAGCAACTGTGAAGATAGAGGTGACAGAAATGGGAGAGCTGGTGCTGTATCTCTCTGCATTGGCAGGAACTGGAGAATGTGAGGGTGTATCAGGTGTAGGTCTTGTTGAACTTGCAGACATGGACCCTTCCGAAGTTGAATGAGTCCAAGATGGGGATGGTGAACTGATAGAATGACCCACAGATTCTGAAAGTAGAGATGTTTGTGTCCCACTGTGCTGGGTCTCTGTGTTTGAAGCAGTGGTTGATGTGTCTTGGGAAGTCACCATGTTTGATGTCACCACAGAATGTCCCCTGTGGCTGGCTGCTATTTCTTCTGATTCTGGAGTGGTTGTAGATCTAGGGAGCTTGGTGGAGATTCCAGTGGAAGTGTCTTCTGGTGTTGACTGATGTGGCATTGAGAAGGATGTGCTGTGCTCAAACATGGCTGCTTTCTGAGACACTTGAAGAGAAGGGATGGTGGACACATCAGTCTGTCTAGTATTCATTCCTTTTGTTGCATGTGCTACTTCAGATTTACTGTTATTTTTCCATGCTGTGTTCAAGGTGGAAGCTGTCTGTTTTCCAATCTCTGCAGTTGCAAATGAGATTGATTGTGAAGATGAAAGTGTGGTGCCTCCTGAGTTGGTTGAAACTATTGTGAAATATTCATTTTCAGAGGAGACTGGTGGAGTTGTAATAGTGTGTTTGAGTTGGGGTGTTGAACTCCCATCTTCCACATGGTTTCCTTTTGTGATGGAGGAAACCGTGGTTACCTGTGAGATACTGGATGTTTGTGCAATGTTGAGACTTGTCTGAGGACTACTACTTAAGCTTAGAATTGAGTCAACCACAGGTCCTGAGCTTGTGGACAAGTCTGTTGGGATTAGGGCCTTAGAAATTGTGATGATAGAATCCAGAGAATTAGTAGATAACCTGTTGTGTCTGTCTATCATGGAAGAAATAGCAGAAGGTGAATGCGACTCATGTGGCATTGTTATGGAATCTGCAGACATTGGTACTTCCCAAGAAAGGGGTGTTAATGTTTCTGAAGCAATATTATTCGTAGGAGCCATGGCTTCTGAGTGTGGAAATGTATATATTCCACTGGAGTTAGTGTCCTTGATTGAGGCAGAGGTTGATATCTTTTCAGAAGTTACCCTGTTTGATGTCACCACAGAATGTCCAGTGTGACTGTTTGTCAACCCTTGTGATTTTGGATTGATGCTTGAACCAGGGGTTCTGATGGTGATTCCTCTGGATGTTTCTTCTGATGTTGGTTCATGTAGCTTTGTAAGGGATGTGTTCCCAGTAGACATGTCCCTTGTCCAAGATTTAGGAAGAGAAATGTTTATGGGCAATTCAGTATGGTTAGGACCATACTTTGTGGTTAAATCCATGTTTTCAAGTGTGCTAGATTGTATCCAAGCTGTGTTCCAACCTTGCTCGTTACTATTATGGGTAATAGGCAGAGAGTTACTATGTCTTTGTGATGTGGAATTAACTGGTGATGAAGAGTTTGTTCTGACTGTAGTTCCCCAGGGAAGTTCAGAGATGATTCCTTCCAGTGATGAGGATTTTATCTTGGTTGGGGCAACATAACTTGTGCTGAGAATAGTGGATGTCACTAACAATGGATAACTCTGAGAGACATTAGAAAGCATTCTCGCCACTGAGGAAGTTTCTAGTGTGCCTTGGGAGACCATGTTTGGGGTCACCACAAAATGTCCTGTCTGACTAGTGGTAATCTCTGTGCTAGTGATAGAGTTTGGGGGCCCAGTGGACATTTCACTGGAGGTTTCTTCTGGCTTGACTGGCTGATGAGGGCTTGAATAGGAAGTGCTGTTAGTAGGTTCTGTTCTGGATACAAGGACAGAATTTGTAAAGGATACTTCAGTAAGCTCTGTGGTTGAACTCATCTTAGGCATGTTAGTTTCTACCACAGCAACAGTTATGGGTGTGTCTGACGGAAAGGTACTGCTTAATTCAGCCTCATTGTGTGTGTCAGTTCCTGCAGAGTTTGATGTATTCATTGAAGCAGAAACAGTGCTCTTCTCTGTGGTTTCGGGGATCAAGGTGGACAGTATGGTTTTAGATAAAACTGATTCAGATGTGTGAGGAGCAGAGCTGGCAGCTTCCCTGATGATCACTGCTTTCTTTGAGTTTCTTGCGCCTTTTAGAGCATCCAAGTGTGAAGGCATGCTGCTTCTCCAGGGTAAAGCTGAAGTGGTCCGTGTCGCTGTGCTTGTGTCCAACATCCTTGTGCTTGTCTCGGGTGTTGCTGTGAGCACTGAAGCCACAGATCCAGTAGAGCTGTGTGGTTCTTGAAATGTTGATGCTACATGAGAAGGCAAGGTTGGTTTGGGTTTACTTGACACAGTAAGCTCTTGACAAATAATAGATAATTATAGAAGGGTAATCTAATAATACCCTCAGAAACAGTCTTATATACGTTCTTACACACCTATAAAGGTGATTGGAATCACACTATGGTTGATATCTGCATTAATCATATCTTTTTACATTTATCTAGTGGGATAAATTTTATCCTGGACTATATTTATGTTGTTCTGGGATAAAACATTTCTCACTTAGTACTCATATGTCTGTATAAACATGTATTAAAATAATCATTACATAAATTGTATTATTTCTTAGGAGAAGTTGTATGAAATATAGCTTATAAATAAAACCTACAGCCTTGCAACTATAAAAATAAGTCAGGTTAGGTCAAAATGCGGAGAATAAATGACTATTGAGTGTTCAGCCCTAAATCATACTCCCTTTCTATAATGCTCAGGGTACCTCTTAGAAAAGGAAGTCGAAAGACTGGAAGAACTAGATCTACAAAACAATGTCTTCTCAACATGACAGGACCATTGTTCTCATGAACTCATTCTAATGGTCTATACAAGACCTGCACAAGATTAAATCAATTAGCATTGCAACATGGGGTGGGGGAGATGAAAAGTTACAGACAGTTGATTGTAGATCGATAAGAGACAATCAGTTCTCTCCAGGGATGTGGCTCCTGGTAGACTGCCAATGCTCCAGTGGATGGTTGGCCCTGCAGCCTTACACATATAGCCATCATTAGTGAGACTCAATTTCTTATTCAAAAACGAAGAAGCACAAGGAGGAGGAGGAGGAAGAGGAGGAGGAGGAGGAGGAGGAGGAGGAGGAGGAGAGGGACTGGAGAGATGGCTCAACAGGTAAAAGTACCTGCTGCCATGTCTGACAAACTGAGTTTGATTCCCAGGATGCACATGGTAGATGGAAGAAATGACTCCTGAAAATTGTCCATTGACTGGCACATATATATTGGGACACACACACACACACACACACACACACACACACACACACACACACAAATAAATAAATAAATAAATATAAATGTAATACAAAATTGTTATTTACAGAAGGAAAGGACATCAAGTTGGGAGTGGGACATGATGGAAAAGTCTGGGAGGAGGTGGAGGCAGAAGTGAAGGATGAATATGATAAAAATATATTGCATACATGCATGAAATTCTCAAGTAGTACATACACTTTAAAAAATGATCCAGTTTGAAGAAGTTATCAATTTGTAACAGGTTGAACATACAATAGAAGAAATTCATAATATGGTACATGAATGCCTGAAATTTTTATTAGACTTTGCTAGGATGTGTTTATATAGTTTTTATATAGTTAATTCTCTCACGAAAAAGAAAGAGAGAGATAAAGAAAGAGAAAGAAAAAAAGAAAGAATGAAAGAAAGAAAGGAAGGAAGGAAGAAAGGAAGGAAGGAAGGAAGAAAGGAAGGAAGGAAGATAAAAACATAAAAGCTGCCTTCTTTTCTTAGTCAAATATTAGCAGAGATTTGGCTATGGTTCTGGATGTGAAGTTATGCTCAATGGAAACTTGTAGATGGGCTCTAGAATGATTGTCTATATCTGGTCCTGTTGTGATTTGTCTGGGGCTGTCTGTCCTATCCTAAGAAGGCTATTTTTTTGTGCAAGTTTATGAGTCAATGATGTCCCTGTCTCTAAACCTGGATTGATGAGGAAGAGTACCACTCCATGTATTCCTGAAATTCGGACATTACTCACCTGTCCAAGAAGCAGTAAGCCAAGCACTCAAATACAAATAAAGCACCATTAGTATCTAGGCACTGGAAGCTCCAGAGCATTTTACCATGTAAAGCTTACTGCTATTATTATTTTAATTATGGTGACATATTCAAAGTAAATATTTGGGTTTGTGCCTGCAAGTCTTGCATTTTTGAGTGGTAATATAACTATAAACTGCAGAATAAAATGTATCATGATTCTCTTTTGGCTGTATACAAGAATGGATCTATCAACAGTTGGGCATAGAAGGAGGAGGGGCCCAGGGAAACCACCCCTCATTGCTAAACTACTTCCTGCAAACAGGTTCAGGGAAAGGGGGAGCCGTTGCCATCAGTTATGTGTCCACTGGTGGCACACACCAGGCTCCAATGGGTAAGTCTAAGCTCAGTGTATTACATGACAGAACCTAAAGTCATGAATCTGAGAAAGGGAAGGCCAGGCTCATAAGGATAAGAGAGGTTAGGAGAAAGAGTAATCAGAATGTACTTTATACATGTATGAAGTTGTCATAAGAACAAACCTAATTAAAAACCAAAATCTTACATTTTTGCTTTTATTTTCTGTCCATCTCTGTGGAAATATTACTGTCAATTTTATGTTTTATTCTGAATCCCCAAAGGGTGTCAAAACCTGATGCCACCTTAGATTCTAGGAACAACAGGGTTAATGGATACATACCTATGTGATAAGAGACCAAAACTATCTGAGAAAACACACACTTTGGTCACAGGACATGGAGAAAACATGTCGGTACTGAAAGAAGTTCTCTCCCTGGTAGCTCTGTAGGCTGATAGGGGAGAAAAGCCATCAACAATATTATCCAGCCATGAACCTGTGGGCTACAAGAACAATTGGTTTGGCAAGATAAATTAATGTATGCCATAGTGGCATAAATGTTATGGGAATAACCAACCTTTTTTTTTTAAATTGGATTTATGGCCCACTCCACAGAGGGAAACTCATGCCTAGTTCTTTAAATCTAGTTAAGAACCCATAGCCAGAAGCTTATAGTTCTTAGGGCAGAACCTGTTACTATTGATTTGCTAAATAAATATAGTATCAAACTTCTTTCCAAATAAGTATTTAGTGCAGCTCTCAGTCCTCAATGGGGGAAGCTTCTTTGTGCAGTGGATGATAGTCAATATAGAGATTGAAAACTGGTAAAACTGTAGAAAGTAAGTTTCTGTAGAGTTCTCAACCAAAGTTGGGACTTCTACCTGAAACACCCTCACTTGAGGGCTCCAGAAATGTTGCAAAAGAAGAGAAAGAAAGAATGTAAGAACCAGAGATTGGAAAGGATCAAGGTGAAGCAGTGTCTTCTGGACATGACAAAACTGGCACACATAAACTCACAGCAAAAGAAATAGCCAGGGCCTCTGTGAATCTATGAGAGGCCCATGAGGCCACACCCTCTTTGGTATCTATAGGCAGTTAAGGTTACAGAGAAAGTTGCAAATGGAGAGGTGAGAAATGTGGACATTTCTCTCGAAATCTCAGGGAAGCTAAGGATTAGATTAGTTTTAGGACTCTCTGAAGTAATAAAAAGATTTTTTTGTTGATTATCTTCATAATAGTGTTGGGATTCTGCCCTCACTCCTATGCATATGCAGCTCTGAATCTTGCGTCCTATGTCATCAGAAGGCACTGGTGACTACGTACATGCCTTAAAAAGGTGGATGCAGACCATGCTCTCTCTCTGCTCTCTCTGTTCCCTGCTCTGCTCTGCTCCCTCACAATTAGTTACCCAGTTGTGTCGTTATTAGTAATCACTCTTACCATGAAAAAGAACAAATGGGATCCCCCAAAAGAGTGTACAATTTGAAATGAACAACAGTTCCAGGAAATTGAATGCTGGAGTGTATGCCTGTACTGTAAGAGATGAGAAGATTAAAGAAAGACCTGTTCCACAATGGGATAAAGGGAGGGATGCACTGAGGACAAGACCCCATTCAGCTAGGCTTCCACATTGTAAAAAAGAAAGGCCTGGGGAATTTTCTGCTCTTCGCAGCAAGAAAGGAAATCTTCTGCAAATGTGATTTAATGAGGACAAACTCCATGCCAAGCAGGCAGTTGAATTTGGCTATGCTGTCCACATGGTTCTGGCTTTATAGTCATGAAGGTATATGAGTTACAGGATTATAGAATCTTCTTCTATGGTTAAGGACAGCTGCTGAGGCCAGGCCTGTGGTGAGGAAGTCCTTGCATAGAGCTACTGAGAGACCGTTATATGAAGCTGTGAAAGTGAAGCCTGGGTTATGTGGAGGATCCCAAATGTTTGACAAGCCAGAGTCTTTTAGTCATGGTAATGTATGCTCTATGCCATTGTTATCGTAAATATATATTTTGCTTTTGATTTTACAGGAGGTCACAATTAAAAGATTGCCTTGAATTTTTTTTTTTTTGAGACAGGTTTTCTCTGTGTAGCTTTGAGCCTTTCCTGGAACTCACTCTGTAGCCCAGGCTAGCCTCAAACTCACGGAGTTCTGCCTGGCTCTGTCTCCCAAGTGCTGGGATTAAAGGCATGTGCCACCACTGCCCAGATGCCTTGAATCTTAGAAGAGACTTTAAACTTTGGAATTTTAAACTGTGTTGAGACTGTGAAAGACTACAGGGACTTTTGAAGTTGGATTAAATGCAATTTACATTATGATATGCCCATGAGTCTATGAGAGCCATGGAGGGGAATGTGATTGTTTGAATGAATATGACACTGATAGGTTTGTGTTTGAATATTTAGTCCCTAATTAGTGAAACTATTTGGGAAGGATTAGGAATTATGTTGTTATTGGAGGAGGTGTGTCACTGGGGCTAGCTTTAATGTTTCCAAAAACTTATGCCATTTCCAATGTGCCTCTCTCTGCCCAATACTTGCAGATCAAGATGTAAGCTCTCAGTTTTTCCTGCTGCCATGCCTTTATTCCACTATCATGGACTCTAACCTTCTGAAATACATTCTTGTAAGTTGCCTGGTCATGGTTTCAAATGAAAGCAATAGAAAAGTAACTAAGACAGCGACTCACACATACAATCCCAGCACTCAGAAAGTTAAGGCAGGATGATTTCCCTGAATTTGAAGACAATCTGGGCTATGTGTGACTCTCAGGGCATTGAGAGATGTATATCAAGATCCTCTCTCACAAATCAAAAATAGAACCACTGTACAATATAGTGACTATAGTTAATAAGGTCTTGTATATTTTAAAATTGATAAGAGGGTAATTTTAAATGTTCATGCCACTTTAAAGTGAAATATAGGTTCGATGACAGAGACATTGACTAAATACCTATTCATGATTATGTATACATATCTATGTACACACATTAAGATATTGCATTGCAGGGTCTCCTGCAGATATTAACATCCACAGACCCTCAAGTTCTTTGTATAGAATGCAGAA